AGAGGCTGATTTTAGGGATCTAAAAGGTCAGATAAGTCAGGACGAAAGAAGTAATAGGGATATAAAGCAGGGGATAGCGCACGGTACAGTCGCCTTCAATAAAAAGAAGTGACTTCTACGCTTACGAACAATTAATTTAGAAATTCGAGAAAGATTGTTAAAGGAGTATGTTTGGAGCGCGGCGCTGTACGGGTGCGAAACATAGACGGTGAGCGCGGCGGAAAAGAAATGTTAAAAGCATTCGAAATGTGGTGTTAGCGGCGAATGATGAGGATTCAGTGAATAGAGAAGGTTAGAAATGAAGAGGCATTAGAATGAATAGGAGAACAGAGGACTCTATGGAAGTCAATAAAAATTAAACGAGATAGGTTGGTAGGACACCTTCTCAGACATGAAAGTCTAATCAGAGATATATTGGAGGAAGAAACAGGAGTTAAGAGATTAGATTACTGTTCGCAAATAGTTGAGGATGTGGGATGTTCTAGTTCAAGAGAAATGCGAAGATTAGGTCAGGATAGGAAGGAGTGGAGATGCATGTCCAACCAGTCTTAGGACTGACGACCTTATATTGATGATGAGTATTAGTTTGGAAGTTAATGGTTTAAAAATTAAGAATAGTGTTTGTTTACTACATATCAATCACCGTGTATATGTTCACGTAGCATTTCTTCCACTGAAATGTTTCGTTAACATCAGGCAAACATAGTAGACAGCCAAGAATATTGCCAGGAAGTTGAGTACGAAGTGCGTCTAAACTTCCGCGTTATGAAAACTAAAAGCAAAATTTTTAACTTTATTTGAACTAATCAAAAATTACGGACAAATACAAGTAACACTCACAGTGTGAATGATCCGTACTGATATACTAGCCTACCATAAAATTTGTTAAGTATTACTAGTAGGTAGTTCATAAATAATTAGATCATGGCACCTAGGGGGTTGAAGTGTGCTTAGGATTTTAAACGTTTTATGTGAAATTGTTGATTCTACCGTTTTGTTTGAAAAATATATCAAAATCAAACAAGTTGCCTTAGAATTCCACGTAGAACGAGAAATTTATGATTTTCGGAACTTTTCTTATTGCATGTGCTGGAAGATCTTCCTTCGGGTCAAATTTCGAGATTCTGAACTAGGAGGATTGAACAGCTGAACTTCTATTTCTCCCTCAGCTCCCCTTTGTATTATTACAAAAGCCAAAGGCAGTTGAAAGGTAAAAATGCTATTTACAAACCACAACTGACATTTCGTCATTTGATATAAGGCATTTCCAAAAGAACTTTAATATTTTTTAATCATTCCATAATGTATACTTTAATATAATGCAGTCATACACGTCAAACATTAAAAATGCATCATTGATGATTATATGTCATAAGAATGCATGCAACCAACTATACATCGAATCTGGACATTTAGACCCGTCCATTACTTTGCAATTGTTCGATAGAAACCGAGTCACAAAAACCTTTTTACAAAGCTTAATAAAGTTGAATGAAACTCTACAAAACCCTAATAGGTTCTCTTAAACGTAAATCCTTTGACGTTTTTCTACAATTATTAACCAAAAAGTACAATTTTCAATCATAGTCACAATAAATAGTATACCCTACATTGGCTGAGTCCTTGTCTCTTATATGTATCTATATTTTACCCTTTAATTGGTTTTAATGTTTGGGTTGGTACCCTATAGTCCTTGATAAGTCGAATAAGTCAACAGATAGTCAACAAAAATATGCTCTAAGGTTTTCGTTTACATTTCAAGATAGCGAACAAGGAAACCCTCAAGAGGTTATCATTTCTCATTAAAAGTTCCAAGAACAAGTTCCTCTCTCCTTTAATAGTGCCCGATAAATTATAATATTAACGTCGCCAGTACTAAAATTCTTAAATATAGACTAGCTATATCTGTTGATTATCTAACGAGGTCGTTACGGAGAAAGAACATCATAAAAATTAAAAACGTAAAATACAACAGTAATAAAAGTGGCTACCGAATTTAATATACCAAACTGTTTGTACATGTATTTGTACACACACTAAAACTATAGCTACACCATATAGCCGAGAAGAAAAGAGTCATTTTCTACAGTTCGATGATCATTTAGTAGCAATTACAGAAACAGTTGCATCCAATAAAAAATTAACCAATACAGTAGTAGTAATGCATACAGTTGTATATGAAATTGGCGGCACTTCGAGGCATTACCAATACCAAGAAGAATAGAGATAGAATGAGAAAAAAACGATGGCTCTAATACACAACTCAAATTGTACCTACTCGTCAGTTTGCTGCGCAGTAGCGTAGTGCGCATGCAACTTGATACGTAGTCAAGGAGATTTTGGTTGTTTGACAACTAGTAATACCGAAAATGTTGCGCAGTCGCTCATCGCGCAGAGTACCTACTCTTACGTTTTCTGTCCTTGTTGTCATAAAAGGAGTTTAACTTGATAATAACATTTTTGCTAGAATAGAAACATCAAACTATAGAAATTATAACTCAAACTGACTCAAAATACGATAAAAAGTTATCCCAATTCAATTATTAGGCTATACCGTTATGAATAAAAACACTAGATGAATCAAAACCGACCAGGGATTAAAGGTTTTTATTTTTCGGAAACAACAGCTTGTTTCGTCCTACGTTGTTGGACTTTATCAACATAGAGCGAAACGTTGGCTGTTGTTCTTAAAAAATAGAAACGAAAGTACGACAGCAACAAAATATTAAATGAATTTTCACAGTAATATGAAACTTTTTGTTTGAGCATCCTTTTTTAGTCATAGAAATCTCCGAGGAAATATAAAGAACTTTTGGTAAAAAAACAGGGAATGAAAAGAAATTTATGTGGCAACGCTGATAAGAAGCTTTGTGCCAAAGCTCTCATATTCACTTGGGCTATTACACTATATTCAAAGAATAATTACCATATTAGCGACGGGAACAATAAAGAGCAACATTAAAACCATTCTTTAGATCTTGAAATTGCTTCATACATCAAATAAAGACAAATAGCTTAGCATTAGATTCGGATGGAAAGTTCGAAATCCAAAAATAGCAATAAATTACTAAACATTCAAATAAATTTCAATATTCCGATTTGAAATCATAAACCAAGCTAACTACTGTATTTAAGTAAAATTTGTTATCCTTAATGTCAGTTGAGCGGAGAATATCGTCACAGTCGGAACAATTCTTACAGCAATCTAACTAAATTTGTGAAACAAAGTAAGTATTTTTAACTTTTTAAAATTCCACAAAATAATGGAGTTTAAGCAATTAGATAAAAATAGTATTCACATCTTGCCTTTTTTTACACCAATTAAATGTGAAAACCACAGTCAATATCGGCCTGGTTTACGTATTAAAATATGAGTTTATTATTATTCACATTTATGAAATTTATAGTACTTGTCGTATTACCTGTAATAGAATCAAAATCAAAATTAATTAATTTACAAAAAAAATGAAAATAATAAATTTGAATAATTTGTTTATACTTTAGATCAAATTACCAACATGAGGCATTTACGTACCTGTTGACCTTTCATCGTTATAAGAAGTTAAAACAGTGACTTCCTTTGGCATTCATTTAGTAGGAAGCTATTTGTTAACAATTACTGCAATACTTTTGAAACAAAAAAGGATCTCTGTGTTTGCTCCCAAGTTACCGTTTTACTTCTAATTGTTAGGATCCTTGACTAGTTTGTCTTAGTAACTAATACCTCCTTAATATTTGCTTTTGGCGTGTGGCGAGTGTTGTCTAGAAATAAAGCGCTATCAGTCGTACCAAAACGCCCATAATTTTATGATATCTCGTCAAGATTGAAACAGTTTCTTTGAGCCAAAGCGAAGTCCGATCGGTATTATAAGTAAATAGTAATGATCGGTAAATAATTACGTACTTATGAACGCCTATTTGAAGGACTTTCAAAAATAGCAGCGCGATATTTTCTTTAATAGACCGATTTTTGTTTTCAATAGTGTTCGCAGCTAAACATTACAAGTAAGTAGGTGCACTTAAATAAAATTATTTTTACTTCGTTTGAAACCTATAAATTACTCTAACATTGTAGTAACAATGTGCATAGATGTTGTATGGAGTGTTCAAGAAACGTTTCAATGCATTTAGTTTTCATTGCCGTATTCTTTAAGCACTGCATTTAAAATTCGCAAGATATTAGACCGTGCTCTTGTTGAAGTTGACTTTAATTTAATTTCAGTGAATATTCACTAATTTTCAGTTACAATAATATCACTGCAAATTTGTGAGTATTAACTGAACTAATTACTAAATTGAATATACTAATTAACTGTTAAAAATAATAAAAAAAATGCCTTAAAAGTCGGCAAAACAAGTAATGAATAACTTGTAATGCATTGCCTGAAATATTTAAACTTCAATGAGGAAAAATTTTGTTTTAAACTGTAATAATTCTTCTTAACTACAAGTATTCCCACAAAAAAATACCAAAACAGTAAGTTTTCAATCGCAAAAACATTTGACTTTAAATTCGTTTTGCTAATAGAACAGTAAATTACCTAAATAACTGAATAAAATGCTCATTTCACAATGAAATTATTGTAATCACTGCATTTCAGTTAAATATGATTAAGTCATTGTGAATAACGAGTTTTTAATAAATCACTTAAACTCTGTAAAATAATTTAATAAATATAATCAACTAAGTGTTAGGTTGGTTCATGAAGTTATCGACTATTTATCATGCAAAATTATTGTTCTATGACAAGACTTTGCACTTGACTGTACAATTTTTATTAGGAGCCTGAAAACCATATTTTTCTTTACGATAACTGGTGTGAGATGCGAATAAATAGATGCACTCAGTAATAATCTGGCTTAAGTTGCAAATAAAGGAAACGGGTGCTACATGTTTGAAAGGTGCACATAAGAATAATAAGTGTCTTTTTGTAAACTTTATTTTCCCAAAAGTCCATTTTAGTGCATAAGATCCAATGAATGTCTTTATAAATAAACAGGGTCTCGACCTACACAAAAACAGTAACACAAAAAGATTGCAAGTAAGAGTCACTTTTGTCGAAAAAATCGAGCATAAAAAGTGCATTTTGTGGGCATCGCTGCCATTTCCAAAGCAAACACATACCCAGCAATAACACCGTTTTCGCGATATTTATAACTAACCGAACTGAACGTTGAACGTTAGCATATAGTCATAGTGTGCCATGTGGTCGAACGTCGGCCTGTGTGAAGACAGTTAGTGTTATATTAAGCGTCGCGGCGTCTGTTATTCGACGTCGCTGGTCCAACATTTCACGTCCTAACTGACGCCCCGTAACTGAAAGATGCTCTCAAAGATCTCCAGGTCTCCTCTACAGCCTCGGATACACAACCAAAAATGTCTTCAATAATAATCATAACGATAATAACATGTAAAAGTTGGTGATGTTGAACTTGTACGATTATGATGTTGATGATTGATGAGTGTTGTTCCATGACACACTGTTAATAGTCGAATAGCTAGTTAGTGAGAGGTTTTTTTGCGATGTTGGTGTTGCTTCAATGCAAAAGTGGAAAGGGTTCCAAGTGAGTAAACCAAAATTACCACGTTCAAAGTGTATTGCATGCCATGTCCAAGCTGTTTGTGATGTAAAATTGTTCCGAGAAACCAAAACTGAAGTATGTCAAAAGCATTCCGATTAAAATTAATCAGCAGCATTATCCTGCATATCCCGTGGCATTTAGAGGGAACAAGGAGATCTCAATATGTTGGACATCTTTAGGGGCCTGAAGAATTTGATCAGGGTCAGCCATGTCCACATAGACAGCGTCGTATTCCGACTCCACTATTCGATCACTGTGATCATTCTGATCGCATTCAGTCTTATATTGACGACGAGACAGTACGTGGGCAATCCCATCGACTGCGTCCATACCAAGGACATACCGGAAGACGTCCTCAACACCTTCTGCTGGATCCACTCGACGTATACCGTGAGGGCGGCGTTTTACAAGAAAATTGGATTGGAAGTACCTTACCCCGGCGTGGAAACGGCAAAGGACGAAAAGGACAAGAAACTCTACAAATACTACCAGTGGGTCTGCTTCTGCCTTTTCTTTCAAGTAAGTAGGTCGACTGAACAATATATGTGTGTATGTATTTGATAGGTAGACGCCGGTGGTATTACACGTCTATTTTCGTGCGCAATGTATTCTTAAGTGTAAACCGGAGGAAATCGGGGAATGAATTACCTGCCTGCCTGACCTAATTCGCTAAACATTATTTTCTTCTTTATTTTTTTACGAAAGAAATTCAACGCTTGTACGCCTTGAAGTGAAAGAAATGACAAACACGGCGTAATGTTTTTCAACATTCAGATAAATCTATCGGTGCTTCTGTCATTTTTGAAGGTATTTATGGATGAATATCATAATAAAAACCCCGCTTTGAAAACATGTTTGATTTCCAAATATATTTAGTTTTGTGTCAACTATTTAAAACATTAGTTTAGTTTTGAAATAAATTAAGGTATTTGGCCTTCAATTGATGGAACATTTTGGAGATTATTTGAAAATTTCATCCTATTACCAATTGGATATCTTTCATTCGGAAAGAAAAGCTACTGCCAAATAGCTAATAACGTTAATTTCTTAGGTATTACTTCTGGGCCTTTTCTGTATCATTGTAAAAATCTATTCAATACCTTAATAGTTAGCATCTATACAATTTGCATGTCACTACTTTGGATAATATTTCCGTTTAATATGAAATAGAGGAAGACCCCGCTTAACGCGTAGGATACGTTCCATCAAAGTAGAGCGTAATGCGAAACAGCGCTAAACGAGGCTATCTTAACATGTAAATAATGAAGTTAGGGGATGATTTTTAATAAAACTAAAACCAAACATTTATTTCTTACAAAAATAAAAACAATATAAACGAATATACTTATAAAAACAAATAAAATTCTAAGTCAGTCAAATCATTCAGTCTATTCTGTGTTTTTAATTTTCTGCCTTCTTGTCGAGAAGGCATCTAATGTAGTTTGCGTTCTGTTGGAAGTTGTTGATAAGTGGATAAAGCATCTATAACACCCCGTCTTGATTTTGAATTCCTGTCAAAATTTGGATCATTTTCAACTAATTGGTCCATAATTTCAGTTATAGTGGTCAAATTCCTTTTTATAATTATAAACATCATCGAAAGTTCTTTTTGCTCTTCTTCCAAATCACTACTATCAATATTTTTGTTTCCTTCTTCCTCAGTTAATTCCTTGAACTCATCATTAGAAAGACTAGCTGCTGTTTCTTGAACTATGATAAAAATGCGTCCGTACAGCACCGCACCAAACAAGAAACAGAACAACACTGTTTCGGATATGTTATGTAGATACGTATTCGGAAATCTTGCGCTGCGCACAATTTCGGGAAATCCCCGGGTTGAAATAAACAGCGCTAAACAAAACAACGTTATGCTAGGTCTTACTGTATTTCGATAAAAGTGAAGTTTACGGCACCCTCTACAAATTAATCAAATCACGACAACACTTACTTTGTTCGTGTTGTCTTTTCCTACCGTAGTCTCATACAAATCCTAAGCAAATCCATCAAACAAAAGTTGCCAGTACTATGAAAGTTTGCTATAGATATATAATGCGGAACCAACTTCAAAGACGGTTTCATAAACATGCGTTTCGCAGAGATTTTAAAAGTACAGTTGCCCGATATTTTCACGGTTTTTGCTTGAAAACGAAACAAATCTTAAACAAACGTCCTCTAAACTTCCTTTTTCCCGCGAACTGTATCACTATTTACCTACTCGTACACAAATGAATCGACAAACGTAAATTGCAAGTAGAAATAGACTATTGCGTTACATGTGTTTATCTCTCGAGGTACGAAATTTATTATGTTTATAAGGAAGTTATAGAAAACTATTTCTAATGTATAAAGTTCTATTTAAAGGTAATATCAAATAAATAAGAGTATAAACCAGAACACTGCGTACATCTTGTGCAATCAGTTGATTGTAAACCTTCATCATCATTATGCGATAAAATGCATGTTTCCAGGACGAGTAGTAGCAAAAATGGAATAGGCAAAGGACGAGCTATAATCGAGGAGCTGCAAACTGTATATAAAAATATGACGTTTGTTCCATAAAGACTTAACGAGCAGTGTTTACTTTACCTTTTGCTACTCCAAAATCTGTCGTTTAGCAGGTTAACAATCTAACCTAACGTAACATAACCTAATTTTCTTCTATTCTAAAAACATCTACCTCGAAAACGAACGGTAGGACAAATATGTCACAGCAATAATTAATTTATTTAGCTACAATACTGAGTAGATAATTAAAACAAAGAACTAATTATTTACTGTTTAATCAGTCAAAATATTAGTAGAATGAAGATTCGGGCTATAGGGACGTGGTTTAAGTGAACTATTCTGTCCAGACGTTTCGTCGGCTACTACGGCTGACATCCTCAGTGCTAGAGCTGCGTTGACGACGTGAACGTAGATTATATCTCGAAGTCTCGACAGCGACTGACCCATATTTACCAACTTCGTTACTAAATTTGAAAACGTTGACAGAGGCGATAATGAACCATTTTGCGAAAGCATATTCAGTTATTGCCTTGTCGGTCAATGGCACAAATATGACAAATATAAATATTTGTATAATTTTGTTGTTTCGAAAGAATGAATTTTTTATATAAGTAACAGGGTGTTATGTGAATAAAATTTAAGATTTTGGATATGCACCACTTTAGTAAATTATCTGCTACCGATGTTTCGTTATTCAGGGATTCTTATTGTCTACAACTAATCTGAAATTACCTACTGTCTATTTCCAATTGCACGTTAACTTCAAAAGTCATGAATATGTCCTATATCATTAAGGTAATAGACAATATGGCAAAGCATACCTTCTTAATTATTTATTATTCCCCCATTCTTATCCTGCAGTTATAGGAATACAGGGGAGAGTTAAAGAAACATTATTTTGCTAGGAGTTTAGAGTGTATCGGGAACTAAAGTGGTCAGAAGTTATACTTCGTTTACTTTCTGTAGCGATGTGACCTTCAGTTTGACCGGCGCAAAGTAGAAAAGAGCAGCACTAGGCCAAAAAAGGAAAGAGACAACTCTCGGCCACACTCTTAACCGGTGAGGAGCGTATAATCCGTACAGTACTGCACGGAAAAATTGACCATTTTATCCACTACAATTGCATTGCTCAAATGTGCTGTTATTGGTACCATTTACTACTAAAAATATCAACGAGATGTTTATTTATATTTGAAGACATATTAAAGGCTTTAACGCTTGTTTTCGACTCGCACTACTATTCATGATTGAACAAAACTTTAAAAGAAAGTAAGTGAAGTATATGAGAGGTTACATTTATTACATTTCATTTGTCGTCGATTTACCCCTGCCATTCTGTGTGCACCCTATTATCAAATGAGAATCCCTACGCATAGATGGCGCTGAAAATGTTCGTCCCTTTTGTTTTTCTTTTCAATCAATTAGCATAAATAGAGAACGTTAAATGTTTCTTAAAATTACTGTAACTGTTATTCGATTTTCTAAGGTGTTCAGATATAAATAAGTAAAAAAGTAAACAACTAGATAATAAAAATGCCGATTTAAATTTTGCGGTTACTTCAGCCGGTTATATTAATCGATAAGATCCACAAACAAGATGGACATGGCGGCTGAACACGCATATGTCTAAATATTTATTTTACTTTCGTTCGGTTTGCTTATAGATGACATGATCTAACGATTTTGCTCTTTCCTAGTACATTTTACGCCACAACAAAGAAACGTATTGACTGTTTGAGAGAATCGCATAAATCGATGATGACAGAACCCGGTTGTTAAACTCACATTACGCGGCTGGGTCATAGATCCGATTTCATATCTACAATTTTTATGTGAGTTTGTTTAGGTTGGAGATTTATCCACTAAATGACAGTTACAAAAATATTAGGACGCCTACTTTTACTTACGACAGACGTTGTAGGGAATATCGTAAATATGGAAAAGAGATGCCAAGTAGGAATTGCAGCGGACACTAATAAAGAAAAAGGAATAACATTGCACCAATTAATGTGTAACAGAAAGAGATACGGACAAGCACAATTTGAGCATGATGCCAACATCAGACTTTAAAGAAAGTCCAACATTGTCAGGAATTTGTGAAAGCAAAGACGGTTGTTTAAAGATATACAGTCAAAATCTGTTATAATAACGACACCGAACGGACTACTCATATTTGGTCGTAAAAACCGATAGTCGTAATAGCCGGTGACGTTATTATTAAGTACTTAATACCTATTATTGAATGTATGATTAATATATTCATATATAAAATAAAACTACATTTTATTTATTTTACATAAAACGTATTAAAAAAAGACATTACGTACATATTTTTATATATCATATTAATATTTTTGTGGATTTTTTTGCTTATCGGTTGTACCAAAATTAAAATCCCTACTGCCCTTTGCCTACGTTAAGTTTAAATAATACTAATTAAACAAAAAACATCAATGGTTTTATTATTTTGTTTTTATGTGTAAGATTACCAAAAAACTAATGTAATTGTCCAGAATTGGGACTTCAAAAATGTTTTCATCGATTTACGGTCATTTCTGAGGGTTCAATGATTATATTTGAGGCGGGGAGAAACATTTTTTTTTATTACAGCATACATCATACATCATATAGACACATGGTATATGGTGTATGTATAGCTATTTCTTCTTTTAATATTAATAATAGACCAAAGAAATTTATGAAGTCATAAAAAATTGTCTCCTCCACCTTCTAATATCTAATTCTATTATTTAGAATGACAGGAAATCGATGAAAAAATTTTTGGAACGATTTTGGTTTGGAGCCTCAATTCTGGACAATTACCAAAACTAATAAAAAGAACATTACTAGGTCATCTAATATGGGACGGGGCTTAGTATAAGTAAATATGAAACACCAAAGACCACGTGGTAACAAAGGAACATTCACAGTTAAAAAATTAATTAATATAATAAAATTTTCAATCAACTTCATATTAGTTTTAATTTGGACAGAAATTGCCTGTTTACTTACTA